TTTTGTATGGTGCAAGTCACAGTATTACTTACATGGTGTTTAGTTACAATGATCTATACAACATGCATGTTATAATTTTAAACAATAGCATACCAGGGAATAACATCTATATAGAATTCCGTATTCCAATAATGTCTGATCCAATTTTTATTTTACAATATTGTAAGTATATAATAATTGCTAAAATCACTAATATTTTCGAATACAATTTTCTGTTTACTAATTTAATTATACGGCATAAAATAACATGTACAGTATTTAATAATGGAATAACTCATCCGCGCTTCAAACCAAGCAACTCTGTCTATTCCAATACGTAATATCGACAAACAGTTACTGACATTTTCAGTTGGCTGATACACAAAAAAGAAAGGATAAGATTTTGGTACAAGTGATAAGGACACCGTTAAACTAAATAACTACTGCGATTTACAAACACAGTGCTCTTCAACTTTTTTTTTTCATATCTTTATTCTATATAGAAAGGAACCAAGTTTTACATACAAGTTGTCAGTTGCTGGATTGTGAGTATCATTAACAACACTTTGAATAAAAAAAAATTTTTTTTAAGATGCCATCTGAAAGATAACCTTCTCGACAATTATTGTACTACATCGTACATTACAGTCATATGACACTATTTGCTTTGCATTCAAGTGTCACGTTTTACGAGTAATTGAATCTCCAGATAAAAGCAAAATCAACTCCAAGGTGAGCCGATATCTATAATAATAAGCTCTACATAGCGTTTTACAACATCGATTTCCTTTCCTGCATCGACCAAACCTCAACTCCCATATCCGAAAAAAGATTCCTCATCAGAAAACTACTTCTCCTCATCACAAAATCGAAAAGACCGACTCCCATTGCCGAAACAACAAACTGTCAGGATACCGATTCCATATTCACCATAGAAAGCGACCAGAAATCTAAAAACAAACAAAACCTCGGGAAAGGCAAGTACGTAGGGCAGTTGAAAAGTTTTGATTGTTTAATTTTAAAAAGATTATGATGAAGTTGAGTTCGAAACTCCGCTTGAAAAAAAATATTATTAGTCACCTTACTAATTTTAAAGAAAACTAGAGATGCTTGAGATCTGCTTTGCAGAAATTTGTTGTATCTTTTGTAGGGAGGATTGATTTATAAAGTAGCTGTTGTATACATATAAATTGGTGGAATATGTTTAATGGAGGCGGCGTTATATTTTAATAGCCTGTAGAGCTTGATTTTTCGTTCGCGAGCGAGGAAGATGGGATTATGCAATGTAGGTATTGTTGATTAGTTGGGGTTGTAAGTAAATTGTTTATTATTATATTCTGTGACTTGCCCCGTGCTTGGCCAAATATTTTGTTACACAATGTGATTATAATGAATGCTGGTATTTACTAAGTTTAGTTTATCCATTTATCACACAGTTACGTAAATGCCAGAACACTAGTGCATGTTCTACTGGAGACACAGCTATCATACAATACTTGTACGTGAGAATTACATTAATGATAATTGGTAAAGACATGGTTAGAATATGGAATAGAATTTTCGATACTATAAATAGTAATAGCGACGAAAATACATAAATTAGGAATCTATCATTTAGCACATAGCTTGATAATAAAGTTATTGAGATAACAAAACTGAGGCCTGACCTTCTGGTGCAGAAAATACCGACATACAGTTGACGCTGTCTAGTAAACCGAATCTAATAAACTTGCCCGTTATCGTGAAATTGTTTCTCTGATAATTATACTCTATATTTGTCAGAGGGGTTGCCAGGAAAAAAAGATCAAATACTCTCGATCAATAAGCAGTAGTATTCCAATGTTTAAAGGAAATAATAGTGAACGAAAAGTTTGGATTGCAATAAGCTAATTTCTTTTTTGCTGAAACAAATGATTAGCTTTTGATACGTGAGAATTATGAAATTGATACATTATGACTACCACATTATTTGATAAGAATATAATGCTAATGTACGGGAAGTAAGAAAATAATCGGATTGGAGATTTGAACTGTAATTAATAGTCGAGCGACTTGTTGCTATTATTATTGTCGTTGTTGTAGTTGTAGTTGTTGTAGTTGTAGTTGTAGTAGTTGTAGTTGTTGTTATTAGAAAAAACGGCGGACAACTTTTTTTTGGAGGAGTCTTTGGTTTAGCTGGAGGTTTGGCCTATCGTTTTCAAGACTTGCGATAAAATTGCGATAAACCGATTTATAACTCGTTTTTGCTGGTAAAAATACAAACGATTGCGTAATTTGGTTGACATTTCTACAGGGCTTGGTAGTCTATGATTTCAGCGTAATTCACGAGAAAATTCTTCACACTGCGGTAGCAACGGTTTCCATCGCGGTAACTACATTATCATGAACGCTAGACAATTTCTGACGTTTTCGAAGTGAGTGCGACAAATTCCTAACATGTTGAGATATGTGATGCGCCGCAAATCGGTGACGTATTCTCTCCTTAATCAGCGGTGACACCAGCGCAGCTGCGAATTTCAAGGATAGGTACACCCCCTGACAAAAGTATAAGTACGAGACGAAATTTTACTAGTAAAAAATATAAAAACTCTTTATTTCGAAAATCTTTATCGTCCATACGTACTATGTAACCCACAATGATTTTGGTACCGTTTTGAAGCTAATTGATTGTTACTTTCAGAAAAAATTATGATATACTCAGTCCTATTGTTGTTTTAAAGCTATAGTTTGAGGAAGTGGCAAAATTATGTTACACATATAAAATCATATGTGTAACATAGTACCGGCCACTTCATCGAACTACTTCATTACAGTAACTAATTTAAATTTCACACCATTCTTTTCGAAAAATACAGTCAATTAGCTTCAAAACGGTACCAAAATCATTGTGGGTTATATAGTACGTATGGACGATAAAGATTTTCGAAATAAAGAGTTTTTATATTTTTTTACTAGTAAAATTTCGTCTTGTACTTATACTTTTGTCAGGGGAGTGTAGTACATTCATTGTTGGGAGTGCAGTGAACGGTCACTGCTAGTACTACAAACATTTCGACACTAGTGGTACAGACAGTGAAATAACAGTGAAATAACAGTGAACGGACACTGAAGGAACACTTCCGTTTATTCAAAAGTATTCCGATAGACTATCGATAGAATAATAGAAGTAACTGCTAAAAATAGCTTAATTAGACCGATCAAAAGGTAGGAGTTTCAGCTAGAGTTGGCGCATCATATTCCGTGTCATATTCCGTGTTTTGTTAGTGAATTAAGATCGATATATTTCTTATAATTCATATCTTATTGTTAATAAACGAGTATCACAATTACTCTGAACCTATATTTTTGACCATATTTTCTAAATTAATTGATATATCTGAGAAACCGTTATATCCGTATATCAACGAACGATAATTGCCTCTTGTCCCGCAATTATCTGAGTGGCGAATTAGGATATTCAATCGTTAGTTTTCGAACGCGTTCAATCTAAGTGATAAACCATTGTACTCCAAACGGGAGATAATCGGAATAATCCCTCGATAATAACCGCCGATACACTCGAGAACGATTCTATATCTAGGATAAACGTCATTCTACGGTAAAATAGTCCGTAAGTGAAAAGCCTTGCGATTACAAGGTCACTAACTGAAAAATTAGATATTTAACTTGAATAGGAGGCGCCACGCTCCGTCGAGACTAGTTAAATCCCAAGTGTCGATTACTTTCTGCTCTCCCACAGTAGTCGTACGACAGATACGTTTTCTGACAAAGCGGTGTATTGCGATCTCAGTAGTAAAACGTTTGCTTATTAATACGCGTTTTCTTTTTAAGATGTCAGCTGGCAGTTATTTCTCCACTATTCATTGTTTTCAGTTGGGCCATTAAAAATATGTCTTGCTCAGATCTAGAGAGGGCTTGAAACGTTTCACGTAACTTTTCTTTTGAGAGCAATCACAATTGCAACCTATCTCCAAGAAGTGCATGGCCTTTCCATATTCAGTCAAACTATTATAATTATGATTTTTCATATATGGGTATTCATATATATTAATTTTTCATCATTGTAGATGGTTTATATCAATTAATTATTTAGTAACTATTGTTAATCAGACATTTTTGTTCTTTATTAACATTCTCATCCACAAGGGCTTGTGAGTTTCTCATATTTTTTAAAGCAATAAGTACAGTAATAGCAAAGAGTAATCACAGTTCATAGTATGTCATCATCACCATGTAAAGTAATAATTTGGTTATCATGATTGAGGCGCTTGATAGTGATGTGTTTGCAATCATCTGAGTATTGTGCGAGCCAAAAGTTAGGATGTAATACTCTAATGGCTTTGGAATTATGTCTGAAATCAATAATGGCCCATTCCTTCAGTGGAATGTCTTTGTATTCGCAATCTTGTGCAAATCGCTCACTATGCTCTTTCATTTGGCCCTCCCACAGTAGCTCAACTCCCCAACAGAGATCTCCATTGACATAGAAGTCCAAGAATCCTACAGAGCCAAAAACAGCCCCAACATCTGGACTAACCATTGCATTCCCTGGAACAGCACTTGTAGCTGCACGATACCACTCCATTTGCCAAGTCCTCTCTAGGAGATGAGATTTTTGGTCCATTCCTTGACCAAGTGATTCACTTAGAATGGATGGTTTCATACGTTCAATTGTTCTTGTCACAAATTCGTCAAATGTTATCTCTTCTGATAAGTTTGGGCCACCAGATACAGTAAATAGGTGATGACCCAAAACAATCCGCATGATTGGAGCAGTAAACTGTGACTGACCATTGATTGTAGTAAGAAGGCCCAATTTAAAAAAAGTCTTGGCAACTGGATTTGAGTACACATCAACATTACAGAATGATTTGGAATCACATGAAAGGAAGATTTTGCAAAGAAACTCAGATTCCTGAACTGTCAGTTTCCAATTTTTGGTCCAAACAAAAGCACGTGTGCATTGCAATGCTGTTTGGAAGTGTGGTGAGACTAGATATCTCAGCATGTCCACTGCAGAGTCACTATCATTATTATCACAAAACATATGGTATATGGATGTCAGTGCAAATCGACATAGGCCAGCATGCCCATTAGTAAGGTTGAATATTGCTTTTTTAACCAGTGTTGGAATTCCAAAAGCTCCACTACCTAGAGCATACTGTCGTTTGACAAATATGTCCACCAGCTGTTCAAACTCATTTGATGTCATATGGAGAGCATCCAGTCCAAGAATGTTTGCAAAATGTATTGGAATCAATTGAGAATTGAGTGTTGGATCATATGTTGGATCATGTATGGCCAGCAGCAACATTTGGAGGGTGGTATTTCTCCAGGGGGTTGACATAAGTTCTTTCAAATCACCCCAAAAGAATGGTGCACAATCACCATAAATGATTTGTGCCTCATCAATGATGATTTTTATAGGTTCTGTCCATCGAATAACCTCGTCCCAGGTATGGCCCACCCTCGACTTCCAATAATTTTGAAAGAAATTTTCATTAAAGCACGTTTCTGTTCCAGCCATGCCGGTCAAGGAAATGTATATAGCTTTCTGATTTAGAGCAAGGAAATAGTCTCGCAAGACTATACCAAGTGTGGTCTTGCCTGTGTATGGGGGCTGCGTAGGAGGCTAAATCGGTTAGCTGTCATATAGTCAGCGATCATATTCAACTGGTGCAATGAAATAACCATCAGACTGTCTCAGCCTTCATCTGATTCTAGAGGATAATGGCCTGTGCGACTTGCTTCATTGTGAGAAGGTTGTTTTCTCTTGGCTAAACAAGAGAAAATGGGCAAAATTTGATGATAACACAGTTATGACATAGTGAAATGAAAAAAAAAAACTAGTCAACTCTAGCTATTATTATAGCCACATCCAGGAAATTCATAATAAGAAAACCATATTACTATGTCTACTCTACCCTATGTACACACTATTCTATGTCCCTAATGCCCAAGTCACAAAGTCATTACCTGTTGAAGCTGCTGGAAGCTTGTGGCTCAAGTTGTGTATGTCTGCTTCCCACAGATTTCTACTTTTCTTCAGCTCATCACGCTCCTTCTCCAGCTCTGCTTCCTCGCCCTTCCAGTCTTCCTGTATGTTTCCTCTTCTCAGGTCATCGAGCCTGTCCAGCTTCTTCATCACCTTGTCATACTCCTCCTTTGCAACTTTGTACGCTTGCTCTGAGGTGCTCATGTTGGACGACGAAAAATTTTTTTGCGCACCCAAAAAAGTGTAAATACTGAAATAGGTAACGTGGTAAATAATTAGGAACTTTCTAGACCTTTCACAATGTAACTGTATGCAAGAACGTGACGATAATTGATGCGCAGAAATTCGCGTTTGTTGACAAATAAACAAACCATATACTATGAAAACAACACCAATTGACCTACATTTTTAATAAACACACCAACGCAATAAATATTGTAAAAAAAAAGTTTGATTTCCCGAGCGAATTCTTTTTTGGAATATTTATTGGCTTCGCTCTCAGCCTGTTGCTAAATGCCGAATGGACACATATCAGATTGGAATGTAAGAATACAGTTCGTCCAGCTTATTATATCACTATGCTAAGCCATCAGTACTGTTGTATGTCAATTTGGTATCGACATACAGTGTGTCAAAAAAAAACCGGAATAAAATTTTTATTCACTGTGTCTCAATGAATGGACCAAATTAAATGGTTTATAGCTTATTTG